GAGGTAAGTATAGACGTACCCTTAGTATTATTAACACCTAGGATTTATCTGCAAGGGCATTAACTAAGTACTAGGGCTAGGGTAGCTAGGGCATAGTTATTAACCTATTTAACAGAAGGAGAAACAGAGACACAAAGTAGTGAAAATGATTTACCCAAGGCTACTTAGAGAGCTGTGGAATTATTTTCACAGATACTAAGGGGTTCGTTGGCTTTCATGTACATTGAAATGATCCTACCTGACTCCTAGATAGAAATTGGCAAGGCTGCAAAGAAGACAAGAGAAGACCTATCATATATTTTACCACTGGGTGTCTCTCTTTACCTCATCACTGGAGGTAGAACTGAAAAATGTAAAGACAGCTCTGCAATCTGGCCTGTGGTGACCAGAGTGTGTTACCTAGCCCAGTGTGAATGGAGAAAGAGCTTTGCCTTTTCTTTTCTTGGTTCTTTTCACAATCAAGTATTTGCAAATTCATTTATTGAACAGAAAATGGACACTCCTCCTATACTTCTTACACGATGGATCGACTCCAGCTGCTTTGAGGAATGAATTCCCTTTCTCAGTGGGCCAACTCTAGATCTGCTGTAAATGGATGCCATTCCAATGATTTCAGTGGAGATACACCTTCTTACACCATGTCTGAATTAAGTTCAGTGTGCAATGACATCAAACCATGGGAAGGGGGGATATAAGGAAGTAGGGAATGATAAAACAAGGGCAGAGGGAGAAGTTCTTTTGGGATAGCTTGTGGTGTTTTTTTGGAGAGGGATGTTGGTTATCAACTGAATTGTCTTAATTTATTGCATTTTTTTTTTTATTGTTGTAAGTCAGTGGCTCTCAAGCTTTCTAGACTTCCCTTTCAGGAGTCTTATTTGTCTTGCGTACCCCCAAGTTTCACCTCACTTCAAAACTACTTGCTTACAAATAAGACATAAAAATACAAAAGGGTCACAGCACACTATCACTGAAAAATTGCTTACTTTCTCCTTTTTACCATATCATTATAAAATAAATCAATTGGAATATTAATATTGTACTCACATTTCAGTAGATAGAGCATAAATCATTCTGTTCGAAATTTTAATTTGCACTGACTTCGCTAGTGGTTTTTATGTAGCCTGTTATAAAACTAGACAAATATCTAGAGGAGTTGATGTAGCTCCTTAAAGACCCCTGTGTACCCCCAAGGGTACATGAACCACTGTGGTAAGTGACTTCTATCATAAGCAGGGGGCAAAGAGCAGCAAGTGCCTAGGTGTGGATTATTAGAAGTAATAATGTTAAGGACCACTTTGGCCACTGAGTTCATTAGGAGTAGAATCCAGACCTCTATAAGGGGAAATGAAGGAGGAAAGTGTGGTTGCTTGGCCAACAGGAACACAAAGATAAAAATAAATGTGAAATATAATGTGTGTAAAACCAATAAGCATGGCTGCTGGTACAAGTGTGTGAGCAAGAATACACGTGTATAATCTGTGTGTGTTCAGTTACCATGACTGCATGGGAAAAGGACCAGTGTCTCACTGTCCCTTTGCATGTTCAGTTACTGTGATTCTGCATGAAAACTGTATGTGCAAATTATGCACATGCACTTTGGAATGTGAATTTTTAAAACTCTAGGCCTCAGTAGCTGCAGGAATTTGGAATCCGCCTGCTTTGCAAAATGCAGAGCATTACTAACCTCCTGCAAACACCGTATGGGTGCTGATAGGAAAAAGTCAAACAGTACAATAAAAGCTCATTGGTAAAACAAAGGTCAGTATGTGAGGGTCACTAGTGATAAATACAGCCTCTCCCCAGTCAGAACACAAGCCCAGAGTCTCAGGCTGTCCCTTAGTGCCATACCTACCAGCTCTCCCTTTTGCATAAACAGTGAGTGGATTTAAATGTGGTGGAATTAGTGATTACAACAAATGTTGGGTTGGCATCAACCATCCCTCCTTCCATGCCCATTAACAGAGAGATAATAATCTAGTTACAGCAGGAAATAATTACCATATATACTCGTTCATTAGCCCATTCGTTTATAAGCCGACCCCCCAAAATGGATAGGTAAAAATAGCAAAAACTGTTTGACCCTTTCATAAGCCAACCCTATATTTCAGGGGTTGGAAAACTTTGGCTCACGGCCCGTCAGGGTAAGCCCCTCAGCGCCCTGTGGCCGCGGTTCGCCGTTCCCAGCCAATGGGAGCTGCGGGAAGCAGCGCTCTACTTCCCGCAGCTCCCATTGTCTGGGAATGGCAAACCGCAGCCACAGGGAGCTGAGGGGCTCCATGTCTACAGACGCTCCAGGTAAACAAAACGACAATGTATTAGATATTCAATTAAATGATTCCATAGAGTTTTTAAAATCATCAATTTTTGGTGTAGACCCATTTAGAAGCTGACCCCCGCTCTTTGATGCATCACTTTACCAAAAATATTCAGCTTATGAACAAGTATATACGGTAATATGGGAAAAAATGAAGGAAAGAAGCATCTGGGCCTTGGCTAATGCTGGCGCAGGAAGTGTTGATTGTAGGTGTTTACAGGGGCGCTGGAACAATTTGTATAGTGGGGATGCTGAGAGCCACTGAACCAAACTGTAAACCCTGTATATAATGGAAACCACTTCAAGCCAGCACCCCGAGCACCATCTAGAAGATGCAAAGAGGTCGGCGTTTAAATCTTAATCACATTCAAAATACTGGAACTCTAAGCAAATCAGTATGTCACCACTAGCACAATAAACCTCAGTAAGAGACAGGCCCCTGTCCTATGAATACTGAGCTGATAGGGGCTGCATTAAGGGAATTGAATATAATTAAACAGGCACAAATGTGAATTGAGTAAGGAAAAGCCTTCCCTTTGTTTCTCACTGTTAGAAACCTGTATCACTATAAGAGAAATGGCAGATTTCTGCACTGGCCACCAAATAAACTCTCTTTCTCTTCTAAGATCTCACGGTGTTCTTGTATTTCACATAGTTGATTTTTGAGAGAGGGGTTTGTGGGGCTCCTGTGGCTACAGCACAGAGGCAGAGTATATTATTTGGTGACTTGGGCTCCTTTTAAGTAGTTGTAGTGTTTTATGATTTGAGAATTTTACCGTTGGGTCCTCAGCTTCTTTATCTGCTCATCCTTTGTCGTCACGCATGGAATGTTACCTAAGTGATCAGGTTGTGTGTGTTAAAAACCCCCACCATTAGAGTCATGTTCACAGCTGATGAGCAGGCTCCCTTTTCTTTCTCTTTCCTTCTTGCTGTTAATTATGGGCCTGATACTACAGTTCTTACCCTCACGGCTAACTCACATAGGTGTGTAGCCATTGACGTCAATGGGAGCAGGAGCAGACCCAGGACAGTTATCCTGGGACTAGTCACAGCAGATTCGGGCCTTGTGTTTGTGGTCTGAAAATGTGAAATCTACCCCATTGGTTCCTGATTTCTACCTGTGTCAAAATGATCCCCGATAACCCTGGAGCCTAGATAGAAAATCAGTTCAAATCAAAGCTACCCTATCAAAGGATGGGAAATTGAAACAGCAGCAGACTAACAAAAGCAATCCAACTAAAATGCAACCTGCTTTAGCCATGTGCATCTCTGCTGCTTTAGAGAACTCTGGTATTGGGAAATCATTGCCCAATGAATGGCACTGGGTTTGGTGAGGCTCACCCAACCATATTATGGTCTTGGTTGTGTTTCAGTCCTTTGCTTCCAGGATGTTTCATCTTTTCATTGGGCTTTGTTTGTTTGTTTTGGCTAGAGCTGCAGTCCCTAATTGCCACAGATCATTTGGTTTTTGTTTTGTTTGGTCATTTTTGGTGTAGGCATGAAGAGCTCTGTAGTAGTCTCGGCTGAGGTTCGGCCCTCAGCGGGGCTGTGGGGTATCCCACCGCCTCGCTCTGGTCCGCCGTCAGTCCTGGTCCAGCGGTAGTGTGGGACAGCAAACACACGGTTAGGGGCTCAGGCCCTTAAGCAGGGGCTGAGCCAATAGGTCAGAAAAAGCCCCGGGCCCTCAATCAGGGCAGGGCAGCGCAGCAACCATGCAGTCTGGAGCTCAGGCCCTTAAGCAGGGGCTGAGTCAATGGGTTTGTAGCAGCCCAGGCCCTAGGTCAGGGCAGGGCTGCAATCAAATAGTCAGGAACACAGGCCCTTAAGCAGGGGCTG